GCTAAAAACGAAGAAGCCCAAGCCAAGCAAAAAAGACAAGCCAAGATAAAGACAAGATAAAGCAAAAAAGTAGTAGTCGAGACCCTCTTCTCTTGACAAGAGCAGAGGACGAGTGGTGAGGATCCGGGTATCAAAAGAAACAGAAGGACTTTTGATTTTGGATGACCGGAGGGTGGCGCCTGGCTCCTCGATGGTAGTTGTTGGGGTTGTTTGGTTGTCGTAAGGTAAAATAGTAATTGTGGTAGTAGTAGTAGTAGAATGAAAAAGGAAACTTTTTGTTCGTTCATTGGTTATACAGTTGGAGCAGGAAACGCCGTTGCTAATGGATTGGATGGATGGAAAAAGGGTTGATGAGAGAGAATCAGGACCAGCTCTCAGATCAGGGTAGTAGTGGTAGTAGAGAGGTGAATGGTTGAATAGTGACAGAGAAGTGAAGTCGAATGGAAGGAGGCGGAGAAGACAGGCAAAGCAAAAGTCTCAGTGAGAGAATTGCCTGCTAAGACGCTGCCATGCGTGCTCGACACTCCTTCGGACACCGTCCTTTTCGCTCTCGATGCTTGAGGAGCTAGAGGCGGAAGAGGAAGAGCTCTGGCGGTGGGTTCGGGGCTTCATCTCGTCGACGAGGTTTCCGGCGCCGCCGCGGCCAATGTGGTAGACGGGGGCTTGCTGGGAGCGCAGACGCTCTTGCTGTTGGAGTTCCTCGTCAAAGCTGAAGATGGCACGTTCGGACTTGCGCATGTTGCCAGCACCGCCACGACCGGTAGCGTAGAAGGCGTTTGATGGTGGAGGAGGCAGCTTGGTGCGGGAGGCAGGACCGGAAGCAGTAGCGCCTGGGGTGATTTCGGTGGGGTTTACGCGCATGGCGTTGCCAGCACCGCCGCGACCAGAGTACATGTAGTTGGAGGCGGATGGGTGTGGTTCGTTGATGTGGAAGTTGACCATTTTGGCGTTGATGTTGGTGGATGGATGGATGGATGGATGTGATGTTGGTGTAAAAGTTGAATTGATCAAGTCAAGTCAAGTCAAGTCCAAGCCAAGTAAAGTCAGGACAGAGCGGTAGTAGTGTAGTGTAGTGTAGTGTAGTATAGTAGTGGTACTAGATAAAGCGTCTGGGGTAAGAGGGTTTATATAACAAAACAAGGCGGGCTGATCACGATGGTCGTGGAGAGTGCATGGGGTGCAGGGCCAGGCTACTGCTACCAGAATTTTCGGCGCCACGCAACGCAAACGAACCAAGAGCGCACGAGGCTTGGACCAAGGCTTGGGAGGGTGAGGGCGACTTTGCAGTTAACGGCAAGCAATGGATCATGCGTGGCCTCGCCCGGCCCAGAGTAGGAATTTTCGCAGCGCCATGAGTAGTTTACCATTACCCCCTCAAAATGCGGTGATTGGCCGGGCGCAGTTTTTCGGGGGTAAGAGATTGCCAGGGGAAAGGGTCAGGTGCAGCAACGCGTGCGATCGAGCCCCATTACGCCATGCCACCCACCGGACACGGCTGGCCCAAGGGGGGAGGGGGGGGGGGGAAATGCCCACAGCCCACACCTTATTGTGGAGGCGGGAGCGCGAAGCAGCAGCAGAAGCAGTGTTGAAATTTTTGTGCTAGCGGCCATTGCGGTGCCTGGCATGACATGAACAACAGCTGAGGGAGCTGTGACGTTGGCCGGCTTGTGCCTCTGCTGACCTGACGCCAGTGGGCGAGGCGACGACGACTTACTTACACACTTGCTGTGTACTCACTCCTCCCACTCGGGCGACTATGGCGACTCCATTCACGGCGCATGACGTCGAGCATCGTGACGTCTGGGCGACGACGGTGACCAGGCACTGGCACGGTACATTACATTACATTACATACGTGTCGTCGACTTGTGTCCGGTCGGCCAATTCCAGGTGTCATCAGGTACACGCATGGGGAGCTGGGGCCGCTGCACCTTGCCCATCACACCATAGTCTTCAATCTTTTCACGATCCTTGGCGCCCGCGCCTCGCCCTCGCCCTCGCCTTCGCCCACCGTCTCCGTCTCCGTCTCCTTTCTTCATCCTCTTCGCCCTCGCTCTAGCCGCCCTGCCACACGGCCCTTCCCATTGCCCCCTTAAACACCTACTACACTGCACGTGTGACAGCAGCGAAAAAGCACGTCTGCCCATCTGCAACCTGCGTTTCACTCTGGCATTCTTGTCTACACAGCTGCGCTTCATAATCCGTTGGGCGTGTTCCCGACACCAAGCCCTCGTCAAACGCCACCACCCATGCATGCCCTCCTCATGTCATTTCCATGTGCCATGATGCCTTCACTCGTCAATCCGCCCCCCTTGGTCCTACTTACATAACCACCCCCAGCCCGCATCGCGCTTAAGTAACAGAAACGCTCTGAAATGCGGGGGAGGCAGGCGACTACAGTAGCTCTCCCGCTGACGAGCCACGCTTACCGGCTGACACGTAGATCCAACCGACCTCCCATGCCCCGCCGCCGCCGCTGCTGCTGCTGCTACCGCTGCTGCTACCCCATAGTTGGCAATACCCCGGCCGCCCCTCTCCCATTTCCATGACTAACTGCAACTCCGACTGTACTACCCACTGTCTCCCCCCTCCCGGCTTCGTAACTACCACACACACACACACAAAACACATACCCACTACTCTGCACTGCACTGCAACTGCCCTGCCCAGACGGGCACCAGCGGGTCCCCCAAACGGCTGCTCCTGCTCCTGCTCCTGCTCCTGCTCCTACATAGTTACACAGCGTCACTGCTCATGCAAACTTGGTATGGATAATGTCCGGGTTCTCCTGCCACTCGTCCTTCTCCACCCACATCTGCGTTCAACAGTCAGCACATCACCTCCCTTGCAAATAACATCATGCACCACTTGCCTTTTTGAATGTGCTCAGTCCAGCCAGAATACTGCCGCCCGTCCACGTCGTGTAGATGCGCTCCGGTGGCGCCAATATCTTGATTCGCATGTCCTTCACCGCCAGTCGCTGCACCTCGTGGAGCAGCCGGTTTCCAAACCCCTTGGTCAGTGTAGACCCACCGGACAGCACAATGTTGCCGTATAGCGCCTTGCGTAGATCCATGTCGGTTCGGTGAATCGCCTCCACCACAATTTGGTGCACGCCAGGATACTCTAGACCAATAATCTCCGGATTAAACAATATCTCGGGCGCTCGGAAGCGTTCCGCTCCAACCTAGACCCATCAGCTAGTCTCACCAAATCGGCGCCATATTTCGACGCCCTCTTCGACAACTCACCCGCAGTTTCTGTCCGTCCGGAAGTGTGTAGTCGATGCTCTTGCCCTCTGATCGCGAAGACCCTGACCAGTCCTTTTCCTCCTTGGCAGGGTCAAGCGCCACATAGCCTGTTGCTTCTTTGATATTCTTGACCGTCTCCTTTTCCGCGCTCGTGTGAAAGATGCGCCCGCTTTTCCGGAGCAATTGCTGAAGATGCTCCGTAACGTCTCTGCCTGCCACGTCAATTCTTCTGATGCTGTTTGGTATCGCGAATCCCTGGAACACTGGCACCGCATGCGATACACCGTCTCCTGAATCTAGCACCAGACCTGTCGTCTTGCCAGAAGCGTACAGCGAAAGCACCGCTTGCACCGACGTATACAGCGCAGGCACATTAAACGTCTCAAACAGAATCTGCGCTGCTGTATCCCGGTTCTCGCGGGGATTTAGCGGAGGCTCCGTGAGCAGTACTGGATGCTAGTAAATGTGACTGTCAGCTCGGTGCCCCTCCAAACAGTCGCAAAATGGCTGCCCTCTGCTTCCCCAACCACAACTCACATCTTCGCTGACTGTCCTCAACCCCTCCGTATACACATATTGCCATATCCGCTCCATGTCGTCCCAGTCTGTGACAATGCCGTGCTCCAATGGGTAGTTGATCTTGAACAGCCCCCTGTACTGCTGTGCTTGCGGCCCTATGAATACGTCTCCCTCCAATGCGCCCGCCATTGTCCGTACATGCTTTGGTCTTCCTACATACGACGGAAAAAAGCATTTGGGCACATCTTCGCCTGCGAACCCAGCTCGGATCGTGCCGCTACCGTTGTCTATCACAATCGGTGCATTGTGTAATCGAGAGCCCATGGCGGGGACGGCGGGGGTAAGACAGTAGTGATGGGTGGTCCGGGTGTGTGACAATTTACCGTTTGCGAGCTTGGTTTCGGCCGTTGGGGGGGTATAGTTGGGCAGTTGCTTTGGCGAGGGGTTGCTGTCGTGGCTACTTTCCCCAGTTGGAGCTCCTGCTTGAGTCGCGAAAGTTCACGACGCGCTTTCGGCACTGTTGGCAGGGGTCCTCTCACCGCATCACGTGCTAGCGCCTGCAGCTTGACGTTTGCAGGGTAAGTAGGTGACATTTTTTGTATCTTCTCTTCTTGCGATAAACCTTTTGACGGTATTGCAAATCCATGGAACATTGAGAGTCTGCATAAATCAGCAGATATAGTCTTGTTATCAACTGGAAAAGCATATATCAACCCCGCATCCGCCCTCCGCCTCCACGCTACTACCAAGCCTCACTTTGAATGTTTTCCAAGTCTGACCAAAATTTCCATTCGCTCACTTTTCATTCTTCGACTCGGTTTTCCAATTCCAGAAGCTACTCTTCAGCGAAATTCATTAGATTCAAGAAACTTCCTACAGTACTTTATCCTAACATCATGAAGCGCCAAGATTCCTTCTACACTACACGCCTCGATATCAAAATCACCACTGCATATCCTGAGACAACACTTGGGAAGTAGGCACTTCATCACTTCATTGAATCTAGGCATGTATTCAACTGATATGTCATCAACTTGCACTTCCTGCTTTGAGACCACACAATTATACTCGAAGCAAATATTCATCAGGTCAAACTCAGTATCAATCTCGAATACCATATATGCCAAATCAGCAACCAATGATTCCATTCAAGACAAACCTACTGTAAGCCTGTACAGACGTAGATGTATACCCATTACCAATGCAACCACCTTAAACACTCACCTTCCATCACTTCAAAAAATGCAACAGCCGTGGCCTTCCCCAGTGATCACTGGGATTAAACCTCCAACACCCACCATGCTTTCTCGAAAACCAGTACGCATTCAACCAAGGTACAAAGAACGGTAGGGGAGGAAAATCCTCACTGCCCGGATAATTCTTATCCAAACACCCCATAATCAACGGTATGACGAGATTCTACCAACACACCCAGAAACGTTAGCCACAAAATCACAAGTAGTAAGACATAGAAAAAAAGAGATGCAAATACACACCGGATCCGCCGTTCTCGCCCCCTCGTCCGCCGTCTCCTTCATCGCCCTCCTCACCCCCTCCCCATCCAGCCTCTCCAACCCCACAAGCGTATCAATCTCCTCATGCAAATGCCTCGTCAACGCCGGCGCAAACCCATCAATCAACCCTCTTAGCACCTCCGCTTCATACTCCACCTCTCCCCCGCTCACACCCTTCGCCCACGCCACCATCTCCGCCAATCCCTCTTCAAACTCCTGATGTTGCGCCACGTTTCCCGTCATATCGCAATCTTGCCCCGCTGCTTGCGCCAGCGCCTCGATGCGCGGGAAGAAGAGGGTTTCCTCGGCGGAATGGTGGTGGTGAAGTGTATCGGCCCACGCGGTGGTGTAGAGCATGAGGTCGGAGATGTCGGCGGGCAGCGTGACGAAGGGGGCTTGGTTGTAGATGGAGTTTAACCCGCTAAGGAGCAGGTTGTGCACGTTTGCCATTTCGATGCAGGTGTGGAGGACGCTCGGGTTTGAGCTCATGGGGGCGCCGCGGGTGCCGGGGATTGCGAGGAGGGGGAAGGGTGTGTCGGCCCATGGAGTTGAGGGTTTGGTTGCCATTATTTTCTTTCAAATTAGGAGTGGTGGTTGTATATTGGTGGGAAAAGAGACTGTTGTTTCTTTAATTCTTGACTGCTACTAACTACTATATATCTTTGCTTTCTTTGTATCTATTTACGATAACACGGCTGCCTGCCTCCCTGCCTGCCTACCTCACAACTCTCCGCAGCCGCAGCTGACTGACCAAACGCATCTGTTGCTCTAGTGGAGAAGTAGTATCTTGCCCAATCAACCCAAAAAAGTGAGGTGGTGTAGGTAAGCAGTATGCTACTTGTAGCTAAGAGCAGCCCGCCTTATCTGCAAAAAACCCCCCATCTCGGGATACTTAGCGCTGATAGCCTGGCTTACGCCCCTGCATGAGGGCCAACAACCTTGATGCTTAGAAAGGGCGAGGCAATTCGAGAGTTGCGAGTGGCTACGATTATGGCGTCTAGTGTGGCTACATACGTACGTAGCTTGCTTGGGTGCAACTGTGGTTTCCTGTGAGATAGGGAGAACGAGTACGTAGGTATGCGTAGTATATGATTTCGTTTATCTGGTTGAGTTCATACTTGCTGACATGTTATAGACGTAAAATGCAGCTTTTGATATGGAATCACTAAATACACGCAAAAAGAGTTGATGACACGGGTAGTGATAAAAGCCCCTTGGTTGCACAGGTAGCAGTAGTAAAAGCCCGTCATGATTCATCTGTTTTCAGTCACAAGGAACCAACTTTATAAGCATTTGCAGATCCTACAATATAAACAGGCGCACACAGACAACTTCTTGTTTCGATTGATCTTTTAAAGTTCCTGCGCCACAGGAAATGGTGCGATGCAGCTGCAGCCAATTGCGCACACGTGAAATTGGAAGGAAAGGTTAGTGTCTTGGCGGCTGCCATCCTCCTTTCTCTCGTCGTTGTTTCATCAACTTGACCCAAACAGGCCACCCTGCTCCATGTTTGGCCGTGTCTGTTGGCCAAGACACATCAGCGAAGAACGATCCATCTGGCAACCATGTGCACGAGCCCATGGTCGCCCTGCACAGAAGAAATGAGACGGCAGACTCGTTCCAAGAGATTGAATAGGGTAATTGTGTGGGCATATACACAGACATTGTCAGCTCGTGTTTAGTACACTACTTACTCGAAATGCTCGGCACATCCGTCGATCATTAGGTGCAGGGACCTTCTACCCCACACACCGTCCATCCCCCATTGCCATACTGCTCATATGGTCAATTAGGGTGTGAATTGAAGGGCACACCGTCATGCACAAGATTCCGCCCATGGTTTCAACATACACCCGTCCTATGTCACTCCAAGCTTATGCCGTCTCATGGGAGACTTTTTTTTGCAGAAAGCCCCCCTTCAAAACAAAGAAACATGTGCATCATCCGTCATCTCTACAGGTGCACGGCTCGTCACTTTGCCCCCCACGTCTTGAAGCTGATGTACGCACATCCCCATAGGTTGTACCAAGACGTTGCCCCTGTCGTAATTTCACTGCTTACTCTTCTCCAGTTAGTATGTAAACGTATATTTTCGCTGCTAAATATTTAGTGATACACCCATCGACTGTCCAACGTCTGTCACTCCCGCTTCTTTCTTCCCCCCGAAGCTTAGGACCACTCAAATAGGATTTCCTTTTAAGGAGTCCCGGTCTTACCTCTACCATTTCTCTCTCTCTCTCTCTCTCTCGACGGTCTGATCCAGAACTTTAACACTCCCTACCTATAAGACACTATGCACTTCACCTTGCTCATCAACGCTCTGGCCGCCAGCGTCCTCGCCTCACCCCTCGCCACAACTCCAATCACCCAGACGGGCAAGATCGATACTTGGAAATCAGCACCCGGCACGGTATCATATTGCGAAGTCGGAGACGGACAAAAAAATCTCGTTAAATTCGGGCGCGACAATCCCGTCGAAACTGTAATCCACAATGCCTGTGTAGCTATGATGCCCGAGTGCGCATTCCGCGACCAACTTTCCGACGACATCTCCTGCACCGCAACTGTCGACTTCCAGCTCGAGAGCGATAAGACCTACGGGCCGCCAAACGTCGTTGCGCTTAGGTCCAACGGTACTCACTTAAACTCTTCGCCGGTCACGTGTAAGTTTCTCCTCCCCCTTCCAAGTTGGACTTGGAAAATCTGAAGCCATTGGCTAACGAATATTACTACTGCAGTTCTTGTAAGTCCTCCCTACAGGGAAGATCGACATACCTTCTGGACGGTGCAAGATTGCTATGGATATTTTCACCAGCTTCTAGAGAAGACGAATCCAGAGGGTTGCTGTACTAGCGATGGTTTGTTGTTGGGTCAGCTCCATGTTGGGGAGGGGAGTCCGTTGGCTGGGGCGAAATTTTACATTACGGATAGAGTTTTTAATTATGAGAACTAGACCCCTTCAGGATAAAGGGTCGTAGTACCTGTACTATCCCGTGAAAGGGAGGGGGGTTTGGCATTCTTCTTTTGTATTATCTATATTGGGGGCTTTGTTGGAAATGGAGCGGGTCGTATGAGCAAGTGATACTTATGATAATATACCTAAGCCCTTCTTCTACGATTTCTTTCATACAAAAGTTCTTTTACAAGAACTATGAGTTGGAGTTTGGCAACTTGAAATTTCTAATTACATGGCAACTCTAGATCATCGACTCCAGCCCCCTTTCCCCCCTTTTTTTCGTTTGTTGATTGCAAAAGAAAAAGAAGGGTGGGTGAGCTTCAAAACCATAGAGGTTTCAGTAGGTGTATAGGCGCTGTTTATTGAGCGACAATATAATTCGATATTCATGTGATCTTGTAAACCGGGATGATTTTGTTGCTGTTCGCGGAGCACTTGCTGTTCTGACAAGAATGCAAGGAGTTAACCGGTTACCATATGGCTACCCAATGCACCTTCTTAGTTAGTTTCTGAAATTTTACTCTACAAGTCGTCAAGTCTTGATCAGGACACCTGACATGGTCTGAATTATGATTACGAGGCACATATTCAACCACTGAGGTATTTCTCCTTCCAGAACCCACAATTGCAATACGGTCAAACACGGCAGACGGCATGCACTTCACCTGCGCTCCATTGCCAAGCCGGCACGACGTCATCACCCAACCTTCGTCATCGCCTAGTTACCCCAGCCTCGCCTCATCAACAACTCGATTCGCATGCCTCGGCTACTCATATTCATTACCTTTTAGTAATAGCCCAGGTACACCGGGCCTATGCGAGCCTATAGCACAGCCCGGGCGTATATGCTTGGCTAACCTCTAATGCGTCTCTTGTGCATCCCGCATTTCGCGTGCGGGATATGTGCATGTTCCCATTCCTTTCTGGAATCCTACGTACGTAGGGGAAATATGTGGCTTGCCTAGTACTTCACTACCACAATTACCAAAACTGCATCAAGTTTACCGCAGAGCAAAGTCAATGAATATAAAATAATCCACACAGCAATTCCTCGGTACCCTGCTACTCACTCTACTTGCACTTCACCCAATCCTCCACCTCTCTTATCCCTAATCCCCATAATACCAAAAAAAAACCCATACCTACTACCCAAAATGCGCATCCAACCCACCATCCTCACCCTAGCCTCCACAGCCTCATGCACCCTCCTCCCCCGTAACTCCCCAACAAACTCAACCATACCCTCCTCGGTCACCGCAGCCCAATACGATGGAACCTGCTTCTACCCCGTCCCAGACCCAACCTTCAACCTGAACGCCTACCTCGGGACTTGGTACCAAGTCGCGGGTACACCCTTTGGCCCTACCGCCGGCGCCCGCTGTGTAACCGCTAATTACTCACTAAATGTGCGTTCCCCCCCTCCCCCCCCCCCCATCTCCAAAAAAAAACGCAAACATATGTGTACATATGTACTAGTATTAATGTTGGTAATGATGTTGATGTTGATAATGGGGTAGGCAAACGGCACCGTCCGCGTCGTCAACTCCGCATCCGCCGGCCCCTCAACCTTCAGTATTGAAGGCACCGCTACCCCTGCACCCCCCGCGTACGGTCTCGCTGGCGCGTTTAACGTGAGGTTTCCTGGGACGCCGGCAGCGGCGGTGGGGCAGGGTAGTGCGTGTCCTGGTCCCAACTACATTGTTCAAGGTACGTTTTTAACTCTACTATTATCTTTGTTTGTTTGCTTGTTTGTTTTTTCCCTCACTTCACTGGTAGGAGTGGGAAGAGGAGAATAGGGATGAGATGTAGAAGAGAAGCTGACATGAAAACTAGATTACGCAGTTGATTGGGCTATTGTGCAGACGCAGGAGTGGAATACGTTGTATGTTTTGAGTCGGGTGAGGGAGCCGGCGGAAGAGAGTATCAAGGCGTGGGTGGAGAGGGCGGTGGCGTTGGGGTCGAATGGGACGGAGGTTGTGAGGTTTGATCAATCGGGGTGCTAAGGGGGTTTGAGGGAGGGTTGGGGAAAAGTAGAGGCGCTAGTTAAGTGCTAATTGTTCGTCAGGAGTTAGTATATAATTATGAATTACATCAGTGAAGTTCCATATTGACATCTTGGTCGTGAGATATGAGATAAGCTTTTCTTTCTCATAACAAACTGGCAGTGAAAAAGGGAAGCGATCGGTATGCGAGAAACAGAGTAGCGTAACGATTACAAGGTATAAGTATATGCAAAGGTCAAGTGTACGGCTTGAAATATGAACAACATTGCACATCACTGGTAGACAGGGCGCTGCTCGACATTAGCACCCGACTTTGACACCTGAGCCACGGGCTGCGGTGCCCACGGCTGAACAGGCTGTTGCCCATACAACTGCTGGCCATACGGCTGATACGCTTGCGGCACCCACTGCTGACCCGGCTGTCCCCGCCACTGCTGCACTGGCGGCGGTGGCTCCGAATACACCGTATTCTGTTCCTGGGGCTGTAACTCATACGCACCCCGAAACCCAGCATACCTGCCCTGCCCCCCAAACACCCACTTGAAGCCTCCCCTCCCCCTAACCAGCACCCACAGACTCCCCAGCACCGCCATCGCCGCCACCGCCATGGGCAATAGCAAATACCGCATCGCCTGACTCGCCCCACACGCCGTGCCCGCCCACCCCTCCCCAGGAAACAAACTGTGAATCTGACACGCCCACGTCTCCCTTGTAAGTTCCTGATCCGGCCTCCCTGCATCTTCGTAATCGCTCCACGTCCCATCGGCCGCCTGCACACTGGTTGCATACCCGAACCCCGCCAGACTCGCTCCTATCATAACCACATTCGCAACAAGCACTACCCACACCCACACCCGCTCATGTCGCGCCGTGCCCTCGACTTTCTTCAACTGCCATATCCCCGCCGCGCTCAGCACAGTTACCGCATACGCTATCACGCAGATGCCCAGTATGAACAGGATGGGCGCGTGGTTGAAGTCGAGTGTCAGTCCGATGCCCGGGCCGCCGCCGGGTCGGGCAAGGACGAGTTGGAAGGCCCCAGTGCGAAAGCTGCGCTGCAGGTGGGAGTAGAAGGTGTTTTTTGAGATGCGTTCGAGGATGGAGATTAGGGCTGCGGTGGGGAAGAGGAGGAGAATGGGTGGAGTGAGGAGGAGGAGGGTGCGGCAGCCGTTTGATTTGGGCATCTTTTCTTTGGCTTGTTTGATGGAGAGTTTCCCTTTCTCTCTCTCTCTCTCTTTTTTTCTTATTTTCTTTTGCGCAGCCGAAGAAGTCGTGTGTTGAATATTCTCAATAGCGTTTCAAGAGGGTGAGAGTGCTTTTGAAGACACGGCTACGGCTCCCCTCTTTCTTGGGGTTTGCGCAGAAGAGTGGCGGTTGTGCTAGTGCTCCGTCATGACGAGACGCGAACGGTGGTGGTCGATGCGAGGATGGACGCCTGAAAGCGTTGAGCTCGGCCGCGCAGATGGCTGTGCTTGGCGGATTCGATAGAGAGAACAGACGTTAATGCGGCCATGTTTGCTGCTTTGATGCTCTATATTGCATTTTTTTTGTTGGCACAGAAGCTAGAGTGGTATCTCTCGTGGATCCATGCGCGTCTTATCAAATGGGGCCGATCGACGCGTGCTCACGTGAAACCATTGTTTCCGTAACGTGGTTCGCAAAGTGAAGACATCATCGCAGTGCAAAAAGAGGAATAGCCTCGGGATAGTTCTGATTGCGATTCCAAAATACCGAGTGGTGCAATTCAACGTATACTCTTATTTACAAAAAGGCCGTTAAAAGGCCGTCTATGTGTATGTCTTTAGATATGGTTACCAGCCCAAATACCCAGCCGAAAAGAAGATATTACAATATATATGTCCAACATGGCTCTACGCATCAAAAAACCGTATATGCTTACTGTGGTGCTCCAATGGCTTGCAGTCTTGCTAGCTCATAGTATACGCCCTTCTTGGCTACCAGGTCGTCGTGTCGACCCTTCTCGACAATCTTGCCATGGTCAAACACGTAGATTACATCAGCGTGTTGAATTGTGCTTAATCGATGTGCGATGGCGATTGTAGTACGGCCCTTTGAGGCCGAGTCAAGGGCGTCTTGTACGACGCGCTCGGATGTAGAGTCGAGAGCAGAAGTAGCTTCGTCAAGAAGGAGCACTTTGGGGTCGCGAAGGAGGGCACGGGCAATTGCCAAACGTTGGCGCTGAAGAGAGAGAGAGTCAGTAGCTGTTGTGCGAGAAGATAATGGGGAAAAGGACTTACCTGGCCACCTGAGAGGAGAGCACCCTTTGCGCCCACAAGTGTGTTGAAGCCATCGGGTAATGATGTTATGAAATCATAGATGTTTGCATCCTTGCATGCTTGGATGACGACATCATCACTCAAATCATCTTTGTCTGCTAGAATGTTTTCGCGGATTGTGCCTGTGTAGAGCGTGGTTTCTTGGCTCACAATGGCTAGTTTTGAACGGTAGTCTTGGAGGTTGTAGTCGGTCAGCGGCACCTCATCAACAAGTACAGCACCGCTGGTCGGGTCGTAGAATCTCTCCAGCAGCTGCATGACGGTCGACTTTCCGCTACCAGAGGCACCAACCAATGCAATGAATTGACCAGGCTCGGCAGTGAGACTGACGCCACGCAATACACGGTGGTCTGGTCGCCCTGGGTATGTGAAGCGTACATTTTGAAGCTCAACCTTTCCTACCAGTTGATCAATCTTCTTGCCATCTTGAGACCAGTGATCAATCCTAGGGATGCGGTTCAGGAACGACTTGAGCAATTTGGCAGCATCCTTGGCCTCGCCCATGTCCGGGGCAAAGGAGAAGATGGATCCAGCAGCTTGGGCACCGTTTATGATCGCAGAATAGACAATGAAGAACTGCAAGACGGTGTACTCCCCACGGAACAGTAACTGACCCCCGTACCAGAAGACCAGGGCAAAGATCAACATGCTCAATCCTTGAGACGTAGCATAGAGCACGGCTGACACGTTTGTAAATTTGAAGTAGCCTTTGCCCTGGTCTACTAGCTTAGCTTGGTACTCGGCCAAGAGATGATTCTCGAGCGAAAGCGTCGCAACAGTGCGGATAGACGATGCAGCCTCGCAGGCAAAACTTGCAGCATCGGATGTCTCCTGAGTTCGTTTCTCCATGCGAGTGAGTGCATAGAAACGGAAGTAACCACATCCAAGAACAAGCGGAATGGTTGAAGAGCACACGAGAGACAGCTTCCACCCAAAAGAGCATCCGACAATAAAGGCGACCAAGATAGAAGCGACAGCGCTGACAATAGTCCCCAGGGTAGCTCCACTAAGACCGGCAAGGCGATTTGCCTCTGATGATAGGAAGTTGCTGAGAGCTCCAGAAGTGACTGCGTCGCCGTCAAAAAACTCCATATCTTGGCGAAGCATGGCTCTGAAGGCGCGGATTCGCACATTACTGACGAGTGTAGCAGATCCTTTGGATAGTGTCTGACCGTAGACGAAGTGAAACAAACCGATGACAAGTCCGAGCATGAGAAACATGCCGCACCAGAAGTTGACGCCGTGTCCGCCGAGCGATGTTCCGGGCGACAAGAGTGAGTTGATCGAGTTACCAAGAAAAATGGCTTGAAGGGCGGGATTGCAGCCAGCGAGGAAGCTAAAAATCAGTCCGAGAACCATTGCCTTTTCTTCGCCCTTGTTCATTTCCCAGCAAAACTTGACCAGCTCCCAGGCGCCGTAATTCCGGTTTTTGTCGTCTTTCTTTGCCAAGAATTCAGAAGGAGCCGATGTCACTGTTCGCAGTAAAGCAAGTTTCTGGTCGTCTGCTTCGCCTCCTGTTGGTTTCTCAGAGTCGTCTAGTTGCGATATCCTGTTGTCGGTGTTTTTCCTGGAAGTTAACTCTTGAGCCTGCACAAGACTTGCATACACAGAGTTGAGTTCGAGAAGTTCTTGATGAGTGCCTTGCTCAACAATTTTTCCAGATGCCATGACCACAATGTTGTCAGCATTCTTAATAGTAGACAGTCGGTGGGCGATGACGATGGTTGTTCGTCCTTGCGATGCTCTGTCGAGAGCGTCCTGGACTAGACTCTCAGACCTAGTATCAAGTGCGGCGGTAGCTTCGTCCAGAAGAAGAATCTTGGGATCCGAGACAATGGCACGAGCGATAGCAATTCGCTGCTTCTGTCCACCTGAAAGCAGTCCACCACGCTCTCCAACTTTGGTTTGGTATTTATCCGGGAGGTCCATGATGAAATCGTGAGCATTGGCAATCTTGGCGGCGTTCTCAATAAGTTCCATCTTCTTCTCGTCCGATACGTTTGCATACTCTGTATTTACTAATCCGTGCAAAATACTCTCGTAGATGGTTGTGCTGAATAGCACAGGCTCCTGGCTGACAATGGCGATGTGCTGGCGCAACCAACGTAGGTTCAGAGTGGCGATGTCCCTTCCATCCAAGAAAATCTGACCCTCCATTGGTAGATAGAAGCGTTCCAAAAGTCCAACAATTGTAGATTTTCCAGACCCTGACGCACCCACGAGCGCAACCATCTTGCCAGAGGGTACAGACAGATTGAAACCCGAGAGTACTACAGTATCTGGACGAGAAGGATAGATGTGCTTGAGATTCCTGAACTCAAGGTTTCCAACAAAGTCGTCGGGTATGATGCCTTTGTCGGTTTCTGCGTCGATGGGAGAGTCTCTTTCAATTGTGTTGAAAACTTTGGTAGCAGCTGCAGTAGCTGCGCCGAACGCTTGAATATGAGGCAGGTTCTGCCCAATGGAGAAGCCCGCAATCATGAGCGCCATGACTACGGTAAGAATGTTGGAGACACCGATTTCTCCGTCGTCTAAGAATCGCTTGCCTTGCCAAAACGCCAAGGCATACTGAAGATTGAGTACGCCCATCATTCCAGCAATCATCATCGACAGCCAGAACTTTGCCTTGTAGTCGAACTTAGTTGCACGATCTACAAAGGCCCTGTATTTTTCCTCGAGACGCTTCTGTGTTCCATATGCGGCGACATTGCGAGCTGAGGACAGCACCTCCTCTGCCAAGGAAGCAGCTGTAGCGTATTCGTCGATGGATAGAGTTTGCGCCTTGTTCATCATGGTACCATTGATGCCCATCATCAATATCAACGCAAGTGTGGCAGATGACATGATCAAAGAGAGCTTCCAGGATCTGATGAAACCGACAATAACAGCTGACACAAACATGGAGATTCCAGTGACGAACAAGCCGATCTTTTGGCCAATACCGTCCTGGACAAGATTCATGTCGGAGCTGATACGAGTGGTGACTTCGCCTGAGCCTAGGAAGTCGAAGAAAGCAATGTTTTGCCTGAAGATGGCGCGCAAGTAGAGTTCTCGAATCGTTCGTGTGATGCGTTCTCCGGTATACGAAAATCCAATGATGCTGACGTATGAGGTGACGAACGCTCCGATACCCAGATACACAAAATACAATGTGAACTTTTCAATTTGATGCTGAAATCTGGCGGCTGCAACTGCGTCTACTGAGAAACTAGTAAAGCTTCCTCCGAAATTACCATAAACAACCTGTGTTAAGTCAGCTTTGTATTCTCAGAATAAAAAATTACGGCCAACTCGTGTAGTTGGCGAAACCCATAGCCTCGACACAGTCTGAAAACCATGGTCTGGCGCATGGAAGTAATGGTGGTTTGATGCGTCACTTACTGTCATCAGTGGCATTACTGCACCGGCCGCGATACTAGCGATCAACGCTATAACCATAATGGCCTTATCTTTGGCGGTGGCATATCGAAACAAGGAAAAATAGGTGACTGTAAGAGTAGGTGCTGTTAACTGTATGTCGATGATTTCCTTCTCTTTATCACTAAGGGTAGTTGTTGTGGGCGATGTGGACTCCTTTTCCGACTGCACTTCATGCTTGTCGTCAATCGCCTTCGCGATGCCCTCGCCGGTGGCCTTGGCCGAGTCGTCGTGGTCCATGCTCGGGTGGTATTAGTGGTGGTGAGCCTATACTGTCGTCGCTGGTGCTTGTCGGGCAGCGATAAAAGTATCTCGAGAAAGGCCCAGAGATGTAGGACAAAGGAAGGAAACCCAGCTGGCAGACTAATATTGAGATCCCTTCTGCGCCACTCACGGGGCATGGACGAGTAGGACTAGATCACTGCACTCTTTGATCTAGTCTCGACTAGACCCAATGCGACGTAGTGCAC